TAGACTTTCTTTTATTGTTAAAAAAATATAAAGATCTGATCATTCCCATGGCAATATGATATTATTATATTCATTAGTTTAATTCTAATTTTAAATATGTTATGCTTAAGTGTGTGTTGTCTTCACTTATATGATCAACATAGAAAATTATTGACTGATCAAATAATATTGATAAAGACTATACTCTTAGAAATCTAAATTATTTTTGTTATTTTACAACTCTTGAAATAACCACTTTTTTTAAATTATGAATTTTTATATCCTACAAAATTATAACTTTTCATCAAAAGTAATATAATTATATAAGTAATTCATCAAAAGTGATATAATTATATAAGAGTTTACGTTTACTCTAATCATCAAATTCAAAATAAAACAATGTTGCATTCTATAGAAAACTCTCCTTTTTATTCATAAAAACGACACAACTCAAAATATATCACTTTCGTGTAAAAGATATTACGTTCTCTTTTGAAATCTTAATAACGGTACAAGTATATATAAGTAAGTAGCACTATTTGACATTTGACAGACTGTAAAATTAAGTTTACTTGGATTAAATAGAATTGGTTGAAAGTAAACAAATCAGAATTTTCTGGTTAAATCTACTAAAATTCTAGTTGAGATAATCGAAATTCTGATTGATATAATCAGACTCTTCCAGTTCATCTATTTTCAACCGGATATTTTCTTAAAATAAAGAATAAAATTTCCAAATATTTCCCTTCCGACATTTAGTGATGAGCAACTTAAATGACGAGGTTAAAAAGCATGTTGAATAGAGGCATTTTAACATGCATCTTTCATAGTGCATCATGTTAGAACAGCTTCCTGTCCAGGATGACACACGGTGTTGCTGACCGTGGCTCACGTTAAAGGGGGATCGTTTTGCATTTTTCGCGACGCAGTAAAAAGCTAACCGCTTACTGCAGCCATAGCCGTTTCGGTCCATCTACGTAATATTATTCGCCGGATACGGATCCGTTCTGTTTTTCGATGCGTGCGCCAGTACATTTAATACCTACGATCTTTTTGTCTGTAACTTTGCATTAATCCGGGAACGTAATAAAGCGAGTACGAATAAACAGAGAGAGAGAGAAAAAAGAAAGAGAGAGAGAGAGAGAGAGAGAGAGAGAGAGAGAGAGAGAAAGAGAGAGAGAAGACCGGCGATGGCGCGACGGACTCGCCAAAAACTACCGATGGCGGTGCAGGATATATCCGGGCGAAAGTAGGCAGCCGGGATATGCAAACGCGACCGTAAGCCCCGCCGGATTAAGCACGAACGTATTTTCAATTCGCGATAGCAATAAGTTCAACCTCGTCCGCTCGTTCGCTTTGCCTCTCACTCTGTTCTATTCTCTATCCTTCCTCTTTAAAGCCTTTTTGCACCTTCGATCTCGTTAGTATCGTTTTTATTCCATCGTTTCGTACCTCTTAACCGAAACGTGCCGAATTCTTTTGCGACTGTCGACAATTCGAAAGAACAATCATCCTTGATGCCCATCGATGTTCTTCTTTATTGCCGTTATTTGTAACTTATTTAAGCAGCTTATCTAAGCAGGAGACACTTTTATAGAAGCATGGAGATATTATATGAATGTTTATTTTTATCGTAAAAACAATAATTGCCAGAATCCGAATTATCAGTATTCTTTAATATCGAATAAATTGCATTCTGATAGATATTTTACATTATCGGTTTCTTGTAATAGTCTATTTTCTCTTCTTCAACGAGTTCCAATTAAAATTTTATTTTATGAGTTAAAATGAAATGAAGTCTCGTTTCTATTTGGCCGAAGATACAGATTCATTATGGGAATGATACAGAATTCTCTGATCGAAAGTATAAAAGAACAATTAAAAGGGCTCCTGTTACATTTTAAAGCAGACATTATATATTTCAACGATATCTTTTCCAAATAAAATTTATCAATTATAGTGATGTTAAAATCACTAGTTTAACACGAGAAAATTCGAAAATTTAACTATTAGTCTTTATTATTATTTCTTTATTAGTATTATATCTTTATATAGTATTATTTAACTATTATTTCATTTCAATTATAATAAATTGTTTCTATCAATTTTAACACAAGTACAAAATATTTTCTACTGTGTGTTTCATATGACACAAACAATAAATGCACACGTAAAAATTATTAACGATTAAATTTGCAAACGTAAAAATGTCTAATGAATCTATGGATAGGAGATAACATTACTTTTATAAATCCGATCCGTGTGCGAAATGCATCATCCGTCAGACACCCATTAGACCATCTCGGTATGACCACGTTGCTCGATGAGTATTCAGTGGTCACCTAATGGACATCGACGCACTTTTTCGCACGGCGCTATTCGTCATGACCATCCGTCGAGTGTATACAATACAACCGGTGAAAAAGCTGACGAACGTTTATACAACGTGAGAAGAATGTTGCTCTCGGTCATGTCTCTTCCCTAGTTCTCTCACGTAATGACGCGAAGGCAAAAAGCATGCACGTTATTTTATTTAATAACGAAATAATAAACACGAGTAAAAAAAAAGATGAGGTAGAAAGATTCGTGTAATAAGTACCATTCCGAAGGAAGAAGGGAATAATCAATTTCTGATTAGATTATGCACAGTTCAAATGATTTGGCTAAAATATCTAAAAATTTAGCTAGATATAACAATCATTTTGTTAAACTATAAAAATATTATAATTATGTAAGATGCTCAAATATGAGCATTGCTGCAAAAAATTTTAGTATTCTAACAACCACAGCTTAAGCGTCCTATAGAAATTATTTTGATGATTTAAAATTATTTTTAGATCTATATCTACATAAACTAAATTTTTAGATATTTCTGTGTAAAAATTAATCCTGCAAAAATTCTATCCTGCATTAGAAAACTTGCTAGATCAAAAATTGTGATCAAGATATAGCGTTGAAGAGGCCTCGAATTATATCAGAGGATCTAATGGCGTTTAAACAAGGTTGAAGATCAGAAAATTGAATAGCGTTCAAGACGCAGAATTACGGTACCGCATTCACCGCATGAGCACGAGATTGCGTGATGCGAATATGCAACGCGATTGTATAGACGCTCGAGTGCCGGCGGCTTATGCTAGTAATCGTGCCTTTAACACCAATGCCGATTGAACACGATGAAGCGGCGAACGTGATTGTGTAGCGTCGGTAGATTAAGGTAGCGAAGATGAAGGTAATAGTGGACGAAGGTAATAGTGGAAGAAGAGGTGGAAAGAGAGGAAAATTTTTCATTGGAGTCAAAAGTTCGGCGTACTGAAAGTTTAATTCCAGACTCTCTGGGCGTGGTGCGGCTTGAATGAAAAATCTCTCCTCTCTCTACTTTCACCCCTGCCCGCTCCTTCGTCTCAATTCCCCGTCGTACCGTCGCTTTCGCGCTTTTTCCGTTATCCCGACGCGGCGAAGAAAGACGTTCCTTTGGCGAACCGTTGCCGATTAAATTCGATGGAAGGGCTGGGTGCAGCGAGTGATTTACCCAAGACTTATTTCGTGGTTGAATCGAACGACTAATACATCGGCACTTTCATCCACGTTTCCCTCGTCGAGATGTCAATATCGCCACTTATCGTGACGCCTTTACGAAGGGCAATTTAGTGTCTCATAAACATGGCTAGTGCATGGCTCCGCTTATGAGAGTTTTAAGTAACTGATTTTTCGTTTAAAACAAAATGGATTTCTGTCGAAACGCGAATTTTCTGGTACTGAAAGCACATTGCAATTTTCATTTGTTATAATTAATTATTACGTATACGTTGCTTCCACAAGATTTTTACTTGCATTTTTATTTGTGACTATCCAAAATAATTATCTCTTAGTTTATTTAGAAAGGGAATTATTAGCACTGTTTAATTCTCCGAAACTAACATCAAAATCAGTATGTAATATGATTATTGATGCTGGACTGAGGTCTCTATTTATTTAATTTATGATGACTAACAGGCACTAATTACAAGAAACCAAAATTATATAACTCGTGTAAAAAGGAATGAATACCTGCTAAATTTATTTTAATCATCCGTTTGTAATATAATCTTTTTTTGGTACATAAACGAAATTTCACTCCCAAATTTTTTCCAAAATAAAGGAGAATAAAGTCTTATTTCCTTACTGTTAAATTTTACATTTTTAAACGTTGCCATTTTTCCCATTTTTCTTGAAATTTTAATTTTTATTAATTAACGTATTTTAACGTTTGAATTAAAAACCTATTTAGTAATATTAATAGAAATGTTGAAAAATAGTCCTAAATTTCTCCACACTTTTTAAAAGCTTAGGACAAAAACTTGGACTAAAAAAACAAAAAAAATTCAAATTATAGATGGAATAAAAATATGATTGCAGACAAAAGTTAATGCTAATAATTTAAATTTGCAAACGTATATAGACAGTAAAGAATATATTTAATTGAGTAAGTCTAACAGACCTACTCGATTGAATATATTCTTTACTGTCAGTTTTGGAGAGTTAAGAGGAATTGTTAATACGATTGTGCGGAGACAACCTCGTTAAAAAACATTGTTACGCTCTGACAGTTACGATTAACGTCTTACGATTAGGCTAAAGATTGATGTTCAACTCCATTTTGTTCGCACTATTCAATACTTGTCTCAATTAATCAAAGTGAAACGCCACACGTACGCCTCACCAGCCTTAATCTATGAGAGGTGCGGTCCGTGTGAGCGCGCGCCACTCTGCCCTACCTTCCCCGAAACTATCAGAGTGTAGGTTTTGCGGCAATACGTTCGGGGTGGTAACTGCAGCGGTACCACTCGTTTAAAACGCATTAGGGTGGTAGGGACGTACGGCGGCACAAGTCCGTGGCCACTCTAAGCACCGCAATTCCGCAGCTGCCGCAATTCTTGTTCGTGCTTTTTGATCAGGCGCCATCAACGCCCTCGACCGCTTTACATCCATCCCTCCCTCATTCCATGCGCTTTTGTGATCACGCTCGTCCTTTTCTGTTTCAGTGAAGCCACTGAGTGTGACGATACTCAGCAGCGAGCACGCGCCCCTCAGCGCCAATCGGAAGTACGACATTAATTGCATGACAGTGGGCTCAAGACCACCGGCCAAGCTGTCCTGGTACATGGACGGCAGAAAGCTCACCAATCACACGGACAAGGTAAAGCTTTACAGCTAATCGAACGTTACATATAAGTTATAGTAATGTAGCTTATAGACTCTATCACTGCACTGTTAAATTCATAATGTTTAATTGTACCAATTTGAATTATTTGTAATCATATTATTTTTATAAATCGCTTTCTACTGCTTCTATCTTCAATATATCATTAATTTAAACAATGAAGTTAAAAAATTTAAAGATATTAAATCTTTTATTTTTGACTCCATTACAAATAAAATTACTGTAACAAAGAATTAAGATAGAGTTGTTATTAAGAGAGATAGTTTAAATACTTGTGACGCCTTTTTATGTACTTTTTACGTATTTTATGAAAAATGTTTTTGGACCTGATATACATTCTTTACCGAAAAAAGATAATTAATTAATCTAAAGCCCATGAAGAGATTTGCTTGGCAAAAATATTGACTCATATTTCTTCGTACAATGACTACTCCATTTCCGCATTCGGTTTCACCGAATATAACCGTTACCGAGTGCCAAAAAAACGCTCGATACTCGATACTCGTTTCAGGTTCGATTGATAAAACGGTGGGTACCGTGCGAGCAAAGTTGTGTTGCGACAAGTGTCGTCGGCAAAATGGTAGCAGAAAGGGAAACAAACGACGCGATCCATGAAATAATTTCCTATTTTCTCTTCACCAAAGTAGAATGAAAAACAAAATAGTTCATCGTAGTTCGTGGTTATTTCCTCTTGACCAGCTAGCTCGCGCTACGCTAATGGCATCATCGACAACGAAGCAATCGATCTCCATTATCTCCTCCTCGTGTTACGCCGATCTTTTATTTGTAATATCTCGTATCTCGAATGTATAAAATTCTTATTCGGCGGAACCTCTGCTTCGTTGTAGGAAAGAAGTCACGCCAACTCGAGGTCGTTGCGGAATGATTCAACGTCGACGAAAACACATCGGCGACCTACATAGCATCTGTTCGTCGTTGTTTCCCTGTACAAATGATTCATGAAAGAAGGAGTGACTCGATAAAAAGTGGCATTCATTTAAGAGTTAACTCTTTAATTATAAAGTCGAATGTAACTTCGTTCGTTAAAGTTTTTCATTTTACTGCAATTATTTAAAGTCAATTAAATTATTATATTAAAAATTTTATTATATTTTTTACATTAGTCGTTGTAATTTGTTAATGATATTAATAAGCTCAAAATATTGCAAAGAACTCATCGCGAAAAATATCACCTCGTCCAAAATTTGAATCTGGGATTCCTGACTTTTCTTTGCGTGAAATTATAATTTGCTCATTTGCTTATACATACAATATTATTAAGCACCAACATCTGCAAATATAATCTTCACTTATATATTTTTTCATGTCTATATAAATATAATATACAAACATATCTATATTATTCTGTATATAAATAAAAAATATATCTAACAAATACCATCTATAAAAATAAACAGAGAAAGACGTTTCATATTATTATTTATTTTTTTCCATTTTGTATATTGATTAGATAAAAAATGAAAACAGAGCGTCTGGTTGGATCCGACCGTAAGCTGGGGAGTAAAGGTCCCCAGGGAAAAAGGTCCCATTGTACCTTGATAATAATGCATTCATTAAAAATTCTGCCACACAATTCGTCAACTAAGAGTGGGAATCTCACGTCACAAAGTTCGTTGTTTCTCCTAACTGTTAGGAAGCTTGCACGGACATGCCTTTGCATTTGAGAGTAAAAAGTAAGATATTAGCGTCGCAGTTATTTTGTGATCTGAAGGGATCATTTTTGCAAAACTAGATAGATTAAATAAGTATTTATTAATCTTACTCTATTGTTTTAATAGTGTGATTATTAAAACGATTATTTCTATTACAGTTTTTTAATAACAATACCACAAAGTTTACTTGTCTTGTTGGGGTAAAAAGTGCCATGGTTCTGTTATTGCGCATAATGTTGATTCTATAACAAGTTGATAATCCTAAGTCTTATCAATGAAGTTGACCAATAGCCAACTGTACGAAATGTCACCGATTACTTTCAATTATCGACTCATTGGAAAATCAACATTAGTGGTGCTCTCTCATTAGAGAGAGACTGATAAGTATTCAGAATGCAATTTTCATCTCCGATTTCGATGAAATTAGGCTTATTCGAAACGTTTTGTATGAAACGAAAGAATCTGTAAGAAAAAAACGTCAGCCTTGCAAACCTAAGATATTAAGCGTTAAAGTTAATCTATTGAGATTAGAAAATCTATAAAAGCGATGAAGTTTAGCGACACAAACGCGTCGAATGAGTCTAATATCATCAAAATCAGAAGCGAAGAAGCATTCTGAATAATTACCGAAAGACTTTCAGTTGTATTTTTATTAAAAATAATCTTAAATTTTATACTATTTGTATATAACAAAGTAAAGTTATAAGAAAACTTTGATAATGTTTATTACAAAAGTTTCCTTATATTACGTTGAGTATTATAGTAATAACTTACGAAAAAATTAACGAGATTACATAATATTCCTAAAAGGTGTTTTTCAGAATTCGCAACTACGAGAGGAAAACTGATGGATATATTTTTATAATATTTCTATTATAATTTTGTTACAATAAAAATATAATAAAAATATATTAAAATTAAAATGTCATCTTGTAACACAAAATTCACTTAATGTAGGTACTTTATAATAAAAAACTTTAATATGTACTTATTTTTGTCTCTGAAAACAGTTCAAACTTGATATAGAAGTATTAATTCTTTTTACCCCATTATGGGGAACTTTTTACCCAGCATATGAGATAAGAAGTGCCGAATGACTTTCTCTGCAAAATTACGATATCTTTGTAATGAAGGGTATATATATATATATATATATATATATATGCATAATTTCTTGCATGTATTTTGTCGAAGGTCTCTAATTTCGAAAAATATCAACATAGTCTGTGTAAATTAAATATTTTTTATTTTACAAAAAAATGTCAAAAGTGACCCTTTATTCCCTAGTCTATCCTAATTTTCAAGAAATGTTTTGAAAAGAACTTTACTGTTAGAAAGTTAACCGGTTTACCGGGGCCGAGAAAAGCCCACAAAATCGTGCGTCTCCGTATATCCAAGAGGCGTGGGAGAGGAGAAGGGGGAGGGGTGCATGCAGGCTTCTTCTTCGATCGTTTCCCGCGAAATCACTAGCATTAACGCCGGTATCGGTATTTGCATCGTTGCCATTAAAGCACCCCCTCTGACACGCCATGGCGCAATTACCGGATAGCGCGGCGATGTTTTCGTGATCTCTCGCTCTCACTCCGTTTCACTGCTATTCATTGCCTCGTCTTGCACAGGGAGAGAGACAGCTCCTTCGTCTCTCTTGCTCTTTGATCCCCTCACTCCAAACGACGCAGAAACTTCTCCGTTATACGTACTCGAACTCCGGCGTACCATCGATCTACGCCCTTCCTGCGTTTCCGCGATGAAACTCTTCCTGAAACGTGATTCTTTGACTCGCCGCGCTTTCCTCCCTCTTCTCTGCCAAACTGCATTTCGAATCTCGATATACACGCCGCTCGTGTCGGGGGCGGTATATAAGTTTTAGAGTGTTCCATTTCAGACTGTAAACGCATGTAATTGAATCGGTCATTTCACAAAGGTTCGTGAATCGACTCGCTTTACAAGCGGACAAAAGAAATTAATCTTTCTTGTAAAATAGTACGGTGCATATTGGAGATATGTTCAAAACATCTTTTGGCTTTCGCCAATTTAATTGCAATATGTCTTGATAATGTTTATATTACAGAAATTATTTTATAAATATAATATATAAGACTTTTTTATATTTTTTAATATATGCAATCAAATAATTCGTGATCACCATTTTTTGCTTTATTTTCACTTCAATTAATTACACAAGTCGAATGATGATGAATGCGAATTTGAAACGGTGCAATGGACGTTAAGCAATCTTTGACTTAAGAGCAGGACGAAGTTATCTAATATAGACAGTATAGTTATAGTACATATGTAACTACGAAGCAATGGATACTATCCATCATTTGACGACTTGTCAATAGTTCTATGACAGATCTGAATGGAGAGATATATGTATAGTAGTCATAATAGAGCAACACGAACGCACGATCATATTTTCCTATTAGTTTATTATTTTATTGCTCTTCTAATCTTTTCACGATTGAGTTTTCAGCATGTTACTACGTAAAATACTCTCAGATTTTACATTAATCACATTATTTCTATAACTTTAAATTAATCATTTCATTAAAAATTTAGAAAAATGTTTTTACTTGATTTAATCAACTTTGGGCTTCTATTAAAAGAATAAACAAATTTCAATTATTATTTTTAAATTGTTTATAAAATTGTACACAAAATTATTTATAAAATAAAAATTAAAACTTACTTAAATATAATTACTTTTGAATTATCTCGTAAATATTTCGTATCAGAATAAAATTTTAATTTATTATTAAAATATACAATTAAGTTAAAAGCATCACCTTTTGCCTGGGTCATTTCGCGCACGATGATGAAATTGCCATCGTAATTGAACTCTAAAGTGTCGATTTATCATTATATATTGAACGCTTTTATCAGAAAATCATTCTAGAATGCAATTCGTCGAATGAAATCGAAACAAGCACTAGAAAGTTAACTGTATCTACTCCAATTGTTCTCCTCTGTCATTGTCTTATCCATGATTCTTTGGAAAAATTCACATCGATTTTTACGTATTATTTGAACATTGCTCTACATTGACAAATAACAGTTTTTGTCCTTATTGAATTCCGAGATAATTTGCTCGATTTTAAAGCCATAATGAAAAGTGCAAATTGTTGAGACCTGTAATAAATTATGAAAAAATACTAAAGAGATACACGATTTCTACGCGCGGAAATTTCACGTAACGTCATTCTCTCGCTAGTTATTTCATGCATAATCGAGACGCAGTAAAACCTTCCGAATGAAAAATGAGTGCGGGTATACGAGAGCTCCAGTTACGCTGCGGCTCAT